AAAACATCAATTTAGCATGTTTTAAACATTAAAAATAAACCAGGGTTGGTAAAAAAAATATGTTTTAAACGTGTTTTAAACTGTTTAAAACACGTTTAAAACATGTTTTTTTACCAACCCTAGTTTACTTTTAATGATTGCTAAGGCAATGTTTAACTTAACTCATTCACGGTAATTCGAAAATTAGTTTTTTATGTCACTTTTACAGTAAGGAAGAAATATTAAAATACACATAAAATTGTAAGTAGAATTCTTTTATTAAATTTGATATAAATTATAGAAGTCCAAAATCGCGCGTGCGCGCACAGTTTCAATCTAAACAATATAAAATCGTGCAGCTTTTTCAACACACACACACAATTCTAATAATGGTTACAAGATCTGTAACACGATTTAATTCTGATATGATAGTTGTTATTTATTGTTTTCCTGCAATTAAATCATGCTCTAACTATTCACTACGACTATCATGAAAAACCGCACATTCACACATGCTACACTATATACCATAAGATTTCTAATGTAAGAAAAACCCCGACTTAACGAATAATGATTTATTCATTTAGCAGAATTCGCAAGAAAATGAATTATATACAAGCATAAGTTAAGTTTATATTTTATATTAATTAATTGATGACACATCAAAAACATGAGAAAAATTGTGATATAAAAGTCAATAAATTTAATACTATTACACACTTATTGATAAAAAATTGTAAGACATCAAGACATCCCAGGAATTAAGCAAAGTCTGTATTGTGTTACAAGTGTTACAACACGTATAAGATTTTCAAGTAACTGACGAGCGACGAAGAGTCCGATAAAAAATAATAAAGTTAAGAATTAATATTTGAAAGTTTTTATTAACATCAAGAAGTGCTTTTTACGCCAAAGTATATGTTGAATGAAAATTGCATAGATAAAAATTATTCTAATCTTATCCAAGGCAAGCATTAAACTTTGTTTGCGTTCTCTTCCGACTTTTTTCTATTCTGATAAATTTGCGTTATCTAGCGATAGTTTGCAGGATCGCGAGATCAACAGCACGATTAACTTTATACATACATTTCTCATCACTCAATCGATAATAGGAGTATTCGAGTGACAATGCATGCACCTCGATTTCTTCACCCCTTTATGGAGTCCGGTCTAGTCACGAGAATGAATTGACGTGTGGCAATAGTCTCTCATTTCAGCCGCGAGGATGACTGTAGAAGAAACGAAGAGAGAGAAAGAGAAAAATACTTCGTAAGGAGAGAATAGAGAATCATACTGAGATATATGCGAGAGAATGGTGGCATCAACAAGCGTGTGCGTGCGTGCGTATATGTATTTGTGTAATGGTAGAGAAGGCGAAGGGTGAGAACAGCCGATGAGAGACGGGAGGGCAGGTCGGTAACGGCTATTTTTGGAATGTGGGTCACCCATAAACCCCGGCTTGTGTGTCCCGTGACGTCACGGGATCGTCGTCGTGGCAACAGGGACGCTGGGTCAATCACCTCGGTTCAACCCTCCTTGTTCCTCTTTTACCCTGTGATCCGTTCGAGCGCACCACATTCAACCTCATCGTCCCACCCTCCCCCCCAGGAGCTCTACCTGTAACTCCCTCTGAGAGGGAATAGGTTAAAGGTTACGACACCGATGATACACGCATCAAGAGAACCTGTTTTTTACCCTTCAGCTCGTGCCCTTCTCTTTCTTTCCATCACCCTTTCTGCATACACGTAGGTCTACTGTCCTCTTTGCTCGCGTGCATCTTCATTGTATAGGATTTTGGCTCTAATATCAGAGGTGAACATCAAGGAAAGTGATTGTATAGGGCTGACTAAGCAATGCACGGACAATGCCAAGTGTATAATTATTATGATCTTGATATTAAGCGACTAGATTACGGTCAATGTAAACGCCATAAACTTCAATAAGGTTAAATTACTAGATGCGAGGTGACTCGGAAAATTTATTTATACCTCTGGTTGAATATTATTTTGGAAGAATCTTGTCAAAGGAAATGCTAAAACATCAACCTTGGTAATTAGGGGAGGCATTTCGCAAGATTAACGCCCCGGTAAAAAATTCTTTATACATCAATATGTATAAATATGTATAAACATACCTAAACACGCATAAATATTCATAATCATATATAATTACACATGAAATATGTCCATACGTCTTTCTTTCTTTTGTAAAATTACTTTTTAGTGTATTAAAAATAATAATAATAATATTGAGAAAACATCAAAAATAGTTAATGGGACAATTTTCGCATTGTTTGTTTTAGAAAAAATAAAGTTTGGCAAAAAGCAAACAAATTTTCTCATACATAATTATGTATAATTTTACATGCAATTATATATGAGCAATTCTTTTACATTTTTCCAAACTTGATTTTTTCTAAAACAAACGATGCGAAAATTTTCCTTTTTGATTATTTTTGATGTTTTTTCATTATTATTAGTATTTTTAGTACACTCTAAAAAGTAATTTTACAAATGAAAGAAGGATGTATGAACATGTATGGACATATCTCATATATAATTACATATGTTTATGAATATTTGTATATGTTTGTACATATTTATATATATTCATGCATGAAAATTTTTTTACCGGGGCATGCGTCGTAGAATCAACTTTCCCTTGCTTCATTTTAATTGACAAAAAATATTTGCAATAACAATGATACTAAGAGCTTATTGATAAATCTGCAATGTTGTAATTTTTATCAGATGTCACCGTGACATGGTCAGTTGCAAAGTACATACACGCATTGAATTGAACATTTTGTAGCAGTGAAAAAATTTCCAATTCCTTCGTAAGTTCTCGCCATCTTCTCGACTACGCAGTATCTACGTCGCGAGCTTTATATATTCTGCTACAACTTCGCAGAGACCTGTATTATCCATTCCTACTAAACTGTCCGACCAAGTCTCGATATGTACCACGTACTTGTCCGCGCGCGCTTTTTCACTTGTGCGTGTTTTTTCCTTTAGTAAAAAGTTCGATTCTTTGGAGTTCGATTGAATCGCCATGCGAGTGAAAGGCATGCGAATATGATTTTTCTACAATAAGAAATAGTAATATGTAAAATATCAATATTCACAATGAAGAAACGTTACCGATAATGAAGTTTACCGTAGATATGTTACCTGTGTTAAACGTGCGACGTAACATCGGCGTGTGCCACATGGCTGACTCGGCGGATTTGTTCTACTTGATTTTTCGTTCTCTACTTTTGAGATAAAATTATTGTGATTTATTTTATTTTTTTTATTATAATTTTATTATAATTTTCTTACGATATTTCAAATGGATTTACTGAGGAAAAATTAATAAAATTTCACTATGTATAATGACTGCAATGCAATTTATTATATAATACATAGTCATAATGAAAAGATTTAATATGTCCTTAAAAAAGTCCTTGAATGTCTTCAAAATATCAAAATTTTTTTAAATCGCTTATTTGTTACATAATACATACAAAAACTTAAATAAATATTTTGTTGTAGCTATTGAATAATTTGAGAATAAAAAAGTTAATTTTTTAATAAATATCCACACAGTAATACAATATCTAATAATAAAATAATAATGCTGCTCACACTCACACACACATATTTACAACTATATAGTAAATATTTTCCTTGTTTATTTAAATGTATAATTTGATTAATATTTATAATAACGCATCGCGCATAATATGGTACAATATATATATAATTGTACATAAACTGCAATATAATATGCACAGTTTCTACGTAATGCAATATTACAATCCTTGTATATATGAGAATTGTATATCAATAAAATTATTTTATATCGATAAAACAATAAAGTGGATCATACTAATATTTACAAACGTGAATCATTGTTAATATTAATATTCTATACGGTTAAGTTAATGCTGTAGAAGACATTTGACAGTTTTTGCAGATAAGGGATGTTTAACAAGTCCTTCATAGCACGTGGAACTTCTACTTTCGAGCCAAGAGTTTCATTGAAATTCATCGGTGACATTACGTCAATATGATTGTATTACGTTGGGACGCGTCATCGTTACCGCGTTTGGTGCCAGCAGTTGCAGATACGAGAAATTTAGAAAGTGCCGATAATATCTTAATTTTTTCTAACCGAGTTGCGCGAACGAGACATTAATAATTTTTACAAGATTTGAGACATAAGTTTCTCATTTTTTGTTGCATCTCGCTACACAACGTGTGTTCGACTTGTCTCAAGAATAATGTATTTTTTTGTTCAAATTAGATTTTTCGCGGAATGTTAAGCAATAAAAAATAAAAAAGTATTAAATACAAATGAACTTATATTTTACGAATATTTATAACTGTAAAAATATCTATTATAATATTCTATCCTGTATTAGCACGAATGAATGAACCACTTGAAAATTGTATCTCTTAAAGTGCAATAACATCAAAATAATGATGAAATGAATCGTAAATGATTAAAAAGTGATTTTAGTCATTTTTTTATGTCATGATATTTTATATTAGTTGCTTGGATACTTAAGTAGAACATCAAATAGAAAGTCATAATAATATCAAAATGGCTACACAAAGTAATTATTAAAAGTCACTTTTCAAAGTATGATTCATTTTAACATTATCGTAATTTGTTCTACTATTATTAAACATTCTTAAAGAATATAGAAAGAGATCAACTAGTAAATAAAATGCTCAATTTAAAAATTAAAAAGGCAGGACATTATTTAGATAATTTTTTTTATACGAATACATTTATAATATATTTACTAAATACTATTCCTTTGATTAGAAATTCTACTAACGTTAGTAAGTAATATCGTTTTAATAACCACCATTTTAATTAATAGCGTGTAAGAGTAATCGAGTTCAAGACCGCTCCATTCTTGCCTCATAACAGCCGCGATAATAAGATGAACGAAATCAGAAGGCGATGCGGCGAACGAACAGTTTAGCGACCAAGCGAGCTCGGCTCCGTTTTCAGTTTCTGATTATTTTTGGCAGCAAGCAGAGCGGGCAGAGCTCTCGCCTAAAAATGCTTACGACCAATGGCGTTGCCGTCATTGGTTGTGCTTGTACCACGTGAACGGCCTATGTTGGAGGTTCACAAAGTCGACTAAGTATCCACGATGGTACAGTCAGCTGCCTAAGGTCCGGTTGGCCAGTCGCAGCCAGTGAGCTTTCTCCACAAGGTAAGCCTACTTCCTGTAGTCCTCCTGATTGTTCTTATCATTATCGCAGCGCAAGAGTATCTCGAAAGGCCGAATCGACCGTTTCTGTTCTTCAGGAGGAAGTCTGGAGAATCTTTGAATAGGAGAAAAAAAAATGGGAAACTCAATTTCTTCTTCCAGGAATGAGTTGTTGCTCTTGAAATGTTATTTCGATGTTCGAGGATAATCGTTGGGAAGTTACCGCGTTCGAGTGTCAGTGAAACGAGTGGCTGTATGAAAGATACTTTTCAAGGTTGTGACGATTGATTCGCCCAAGACCTCCCGAGACAGTGACTGATCGGCAAGCAATCGCTCGTCTTGAAAGTGACGCGGAGTTGAAAGTGATAGACAAAAAATTATTCCGTTTATAGACCCAACTCAGCTATTGACTGGTTATTCAGGATATTTCGGCAAAATACAAGTGTAATCGTTTTTCAATCTTCTTCCTCTCATTTTAATCTTAATAAAAAGAAATCGTAAAATTTTTAGTTTCATCAGTAGATAGTGTTAGATTATTATTGTAATCGTTATTTTACGATCAATTTTCTTAAGACTTATAATTCTCCAACGTAAAGAAAACTTCTTTCTTTTACATTTTAATCTTAATCGAGAGAAATCGTAAAATGTTTAATTTCGTCAAAGGATGATTGTCATGATCTTGATTATTATTTTACGATCAATTTTTTTTAAATTTACAATTTTTCAAGATAAAGAAAATATATTTGCGTTATCTTCTTTACGGGAGAGAGATTCAACAAAGTAGAATATAACTTCTCCTAAATGGTAATGCTATGTATTTTGTATTTTCTCCTGAATGGGTTTTGCCCTTTTTGCCTAACGTATTATATAATTTAATGAGATTTAGCGAGTCTATTTTTACGATGCTTGCCTCTTTGATATCGGAGATGGTATCGTATGTGTCTCGATAGGATAGGACGTGTCTCGGAATGGTTCGAGCGCGAGGAAATCTATACTTAGCAAAGGCGATCGTTCATAAAAGAAGGCGCTGCAGCAAGTACGAACAAATAATGGACCAAGAAAAGAACTTGATTATTCGATGATTTTCATAAAATTTCAATACCCTTACAGTATTTTCGCATTGACATATTCGCATGCTAACGTCATCTATGATGTAATCAGTAATGCAACAAAATTATATATATTCTGATTATACAACGCTCGTTCGAATTTTATGTTAATTGTGGAGTGCTTTGTGTAAAGATAGAATATAGATGAAAACTAAGCATTATAACATTTGCGAGAGATATTTAAAAAAATTTATTTCTGTGTGAAATCAGCTCGTAACGTTTAATAAACGATTCTTATTATTTGACGATAATTTTAACCAAAATTTAAACGATGTCATTTGTGGTTGATCAAAAAATGGACTTTTAATAATCATTTTGACGATTTTATGTGTATTAAAAGTATTTTGGTTAAGTACTTTCTTAATTAACACATAAAGATGTATGTATTTATGTAAATTATTATATGCATTATACGCAACGCACAAGCAGGAAAAAAACGAAATAATGAAAATATTCATAAAGAAATGATATATTATTCAAGTTGCTAATGACATTTTGTTTCGCCGTTGCCAAGTGTTCGTTGCAACGTTGCGTCAGGTTTCGCTTGTACAGCCGTAACGTTCCTAAGTATTTTCGGAATGCGGAGTGTCGCGGTAGACAAGGTACAATCCATCTTCTTGAATGTTTTGGAGCTGCGACAACGAGCGCGTCGTAGCGAGCTCCGCTAAGTGCGCAATTGTTATCTCTCTCTAACCGAATTGCACAATTTCGGATGCGCGCACAGAAGTTTACCTATATAAGTTATCTGTTTTGAAACTTCGTTGGACCCCGCCTTATCTCGTGGCAGAATGTTCTCTGGCGTGTCGATACTTCGCATCGGCACGATCCCGCGACGGGAGATCTTGGCTAATCAGAGGGATCGGCATGTCTTACCAATATATGCGTGATATTTTTCCCTCCACGCACTGTTATAGCTTTTTCAAATGAAATGTCATACGCAAATAGCGCGACGTGTTGACGTACATATTCGTCGGCGAGATCTCTTCTCTCCCCCTCCCCTCTCACACCCTCTCTCTCTCTCTCTCTCTCTCTCTCTCATGGTTATTTTATTTTATTAATGTTCTTTTTGTTTTTCCGATATCTTCATTTTGCAAATCGCTTTTCCCCTTATTTCATATTATTTTGATTATATTGTTTTTATTTTTTCATTTTTATCGTTATAATTCATGTATTCTGCTATTCTTAGCTCATTTTTATAACTTTATGTTTGTTCTTAGAGGGCTTGTCCTAGGGCACTAATAAACGTATTATCTATCTCTCTATCTTTCTATTTATCTATCTACCTATTTTTTTCTTTTTCTTTCTCTCATAGAGAGATGTTCATGACTTTGTTTATCTGCTCGCCTCGCTGGCTGTTTCGACATCGAATCTAGTTGAAGCCGCCGACGATGGGATATCTACCGTGGTCGTTGCATCCAAATTTGGATCGTCGACGTTACCCGACGTTCCTGACGACGGCACGTCGCAGAAAGTGGGGACGGCCGGCGTCTATTTTCGCGCGCCGGATATTCTATACCATCGTCGCGCGCGCGCGCGCACGCGAGAAAGAGATGAGAAAGACGACTTGAGTTCGTCTTTTCGTCCCGCCGCGCGAAATCTACGCACGTGAGACGCATGATTTATCGGCATGGAGCGAACAAATCGATCATGCTTGTCGGAGACACGTTAGCGATCAAATTTTTCTCTGGTTATCTAATATTATTTCCGTCGTGCGCTGAATGCGAAAGCGCTGACGGACATCTGAGTTTTCATTTACCATCATTTACGCCGTTGGCGTCATTCCATTAGTCTGTTTTTTATTCTTGCATTAGAGTGCAAAACTTTCTGTCTTGCTCTTGCCAAATATTAAACATATGCCTATTTCACTTTAAGTTCCAAGAATGTACACTAGTCCAGCTATAGAAAATAGACCTTATTTTCGTTCGCGCTATTTGCGCGCATTTTGCTACGCATCACGGAAAAGCGCGAAAGCGTTTGAAGATCGTTGAACGTATGCATACGCAAATACTTCACAAAATGTTGTTCGATCAAGTTCCAAGCGAGATGCCAAGAAATTGCAATTGCACTCGAGCAGAACAACAGGTCACAATAATATCAAAATGACATTAAAATAAATCATGACTGATTGAAAAGTGATTTTTAATAGAATTAATAATATAACAAAATCATTTTGTTATATTATTTTAATGTTATTATTATGACATCAAAATAGCGTCAAAATAAAAATTTTTATTTGTATTTTTATTTGTATTTTTATTTGGTTATAATAATATAATCATATTAGAACCGTTTTGATACTATTTTGATGTATAATCACTTTATATTCTGCTTAAGTTATTTATTATTTTAACGAGAAGGGTTAGCCCCTCCTCTTTAGTCGTTAAGATAAATTATTAGCGACTATTAATAGCATGCTGGTGTATCAAGGTTTTCAGCCACTGTACATATATGACACTAATATTTGCATCATTTTATATTATTTTTTAGGTAGACGCGCGTAACACCAAGACACCACCATGGCGGACGATGAGGTTAGGTGTGTATTTGGATCTGGAGTCTTTTGTATCCTCACGTTTTTATATTCTTATTCATTAAAAGATCAACGATCGAGGAAAGATGGCATGCAGTTCCGTAAAAACGCATAAAAATAACTCTTAACGTTACATTCTTTTTTTCATATTGTACCTTCGGTGGATCTTCGCCCCATTGCTGATTTTTACATTGGACAACGGAAACACTGAAATATCACACACATCCTACGTGTTGGACTCGCGCAGTAAAATTAGCATTACTGTCGAAAGGTATGCATTGTTTGTGCTTTCTGTGATTCTGTGAGAGACCGCTAGTATAAATTGTAGTTTTAGCGAAGATAGTATAGACCTTGTCAATAAAAATAGAACATTGGTTCTACTAAATGTTTTTATCGCGAATCTTTCGATTGACCTTGTTAGAAAGTGTATTTGATGGACTCTAATTTCAGTACCTGATGAAAAAGTTTAAATTAAGCATATTAAGTTTTAGAAATTATTATCGTTAAGCAAATCAAATTTAAAATTAATTTATAAAATTTAATATATTTATAGGATGTTTGGTAACAGATAGAAAAAAAATTTAATGATAAAATAAAATCGCGAATACGATTAAGATTTAGTTTTTTAATTATAAATGTTTAAATATTTACATAAAAAGTGTCTAAAGCATGAGAATATTTAAACACTTATAATTAAAAATTAAAGCACCGCGAAATTTTATTAATTTTCATATTGTAATTTTGAATGTTTAAATATTCACGTAAAAATCTCTAATGTACTTAAATTGAAATATTTTTTATTAAAAAACGAAACATCCATTTGAATTTGTTCTCCTTGATTTCTGCCTTATATATTTTATCATCTAGAAAAACCTCATAAATTGTTCCTATTTGTTACCTAATGCCCTGAAAATTATATTTATATTTATATTTAATTTTATAATTTCATTATTTCTGGATAATAAAGTTGGTCAATTCTGTATACGTATTTTACATAACGAAAAGAACATACTATTCTAAAGAAATAAAAAATTCAAATACACATTTCTATGAATAATTCATTTCCCTTCAATATACTATACTTCTATTATGATATCAAGCTTTTATGTGTAAAGCTCCGAGGACTTCGAACAGACCGAACCTCGTTTTTTTTCTCCTACAGTTTTTGAATTTTGCAGCTTTTAGTAGAGGATATAAATGGTGGTCAAGGATGAGCCATATAGTTTGTACGCTCTGAAAAAGATTTATATATATGCTACGTAAAATGACGAGGCGATCATAGAAGCTCGCTTCTCGTCGTAATTATATCCTTCGTTCTTCTTTTTCTCTTCGCAAGAAACTTTCTACCATCTCCCAATATTCCTCGTCGTTTCATCTCCCGTCGTACTTTTATTTTTTATTTGTTTGTAGTTTGGTATTCTTTTCATTCTTAATATTTGATTTTTCTATCTCGAAAGAAGAATCCTCAGGAGATTCTTGAACAGAAATTTTCCACCAGTTTGGTGACTTTCATCTCTGCATTCTTATAAAAAAAACAATTCATTCCCCACGCTCTTTACCTTGATGATTGTGACATCATTCCTACGTAATGTCCACCTCGCGGACAACAATTCTTCGTTTGTGCGGTGGGATAGTGGTTTTCTTTCGTATAATGAAGCCAATTTGCGCGGCGCGAACCGCAAATGTAAAAGTTAATGAAGGTTTTTGGACTCGTGCAGAGTAGGGAACATATATTCCGCAAATTTCACCGTAAAATTTCCGCTCTGTAGAAAACGGAAAATGGGACTAGCCGTATTACGACCGACATGTCCGTTGTCTCCGTTATATGCTCTATGGCCCGATTTTTTTGTCTGATTTATCGTTACACTCTGGTCCTTATTTCGGCATTATTTAACGCGGATCTGGACTATATTCCGAATCTCTTTGTCTTACTTTATATCTCTTCTTTCCTGCTACTCGAGCAAGCTATTTGTCACTCGCGTTATCCTTACGGGAACAAGTCTTCTCAGATTTTCAATTGTAGATTCAAGTCCAAGAAGATCTGTGATCTTGATTCATTGATCTCCGTGTATCGTAATAATTTGTGTATTTTACCCTGTACTTTTATCACCTTGTATCTTTCCAAAATCGGATTTACCGTTTCTCTTCTCTGTTTCTTTCTTATATACTTATAAAACGATTCATCCACTTGTCACATTTTCACTCCTTTTGCTCATGATGGCACGAAGAAGATGAAATTTTGTCTTCGAAACGAGAAAATATTTGATATTTGTCAGTACATATCGCGAAGCAAAATTCTGCGCATTTAATGAATAACAACGTCTACCAAAGATCGGTAGAATTTCCATTTACTGATTAAAACCGTTATATGAACGCAGTTTTGCAGATGGTTCGTTTATTCAGAGTCACGAGCGATAATTTAGCAAGTCGAAGCAGGAAACGTCTTCCTTATACAAACTTTCTATTGATAATTACGAAGCTTGCATTATATAGATGCTACATCAAGTGTACAGTTAAAGTTATTTCAGTTTCATCGTTGTTTAACGGTGTATAGGATGTTACAAGTTCCTAACAGAGCTTTTACAGAAGATCCCCATTAAAGATTTAAATTCCGTTAATAGATTTAAATTATCTTACAATTTCATAATATGTTTAAAATTTACATTCAGAGGAAAAGTGATGGCTAATATAAATAATCATTTATAACATATACCTAAATGATACATATATAAATTTTATTTGTAGAATTAATGTATTGAGGACAAAAAAAATTAAAGTTACTTATTGATCTATCATATTTATTAAATCACCTACGTATTTATCAAAGTAAATAATAAAAACTGTGCATTAAATGATTCTTGTTCTTTGCTGTGTCATTGTGAGCAAACTCATAACAACTTCTTCACATAAACAGTGTTTTTGTATTTTTCTTCAATCGAAATTAATTGGAGAGCTGTTATATAGTAAAAGTAAAACATAAAACTTTCAAGAACGCGCACTATACAGACAAACATAAAACGATCAAACAAATCTGGGGTAAAGTAGATATCGATGTGTATAAATTGCATGTGGAGTGATTGTTGTCTTCAAGCTGTTCTTTATAGCGCTACATGTCTCTCTAATGCTTCTTTTTTCTTTCATTATAAATGTATAAGTGTATAATATAATATAGTATATCTAATATCACACATCACGGAGTTTATGCGCAGCACGCACCGTATATAGCAGTATATGAAATTTAAATCAGCACTTAATATTGAAAAAAGGTTAATAAAAGTGCATAAAGAAAGAAAAAAAAATCGTTGCATTTTTAATCGCGTCTCGCAAATATGTAATCATCAATTATTAATAGCATTTGTAACAAATTGTCAAGAAAGTTTTTTAAGTGTACAACATGTCACGGTGTTATCATAACGTTTATTCGAGATGTACAGTCGTGTTACGAAAATTTGCATGATATCGCTTCTGTGCTGTATGCGACTACACGGAAAGAACGTTTTGCTGAAGAATTTAAAGTTTAGCTAGATACAGATCTAAAAATAATTTTGTAAGTTATTAAAATAATTATGTAGGATGCTTGGCTCGGAAGTAGCTACCTAATTTTTTTTTACGTAAACGTTCACTTTGGATACAAAAACTACCTAATTAAAATTACTATTATTAACAACATATTGTATATTATTAATTGTTATCCCATTTATCAGTACTTAAGAACATTATGAACGTAGATATAATCCATAATTTTCAGAATAAGCACATTAAATAGCTTATTGTGATATTTCTAAAAAATAAAAATTTTAATTAATATAACACTTTTGTATTGCGGGTTTTTGCAATGAAATTGCACATTTAAAGGTTCGCAAAGAATAGTTATTAAAAAAGAAAAATAAAGAGATGTAAACAAAAAATGAGAACAAAGATATGTTAAATAATATCCATATAAAACAATATTTTACAATTCACATTTTTTGCTAGGATGTAAAAATACTCCAAGTAACTATTGTAAGTAAAGTATAATAAATAATATTGCCAAAAGTTTTGATGTTCTAATAATCATCTTGAGCGTCTTAGGTACATAATTATTTTAATGGTGAAAAGCTATTTTCAAACCAGAGATACTTTAGCAAAATATATTATTCTTTCCTTGTACGATTTATTTTTGATCCACATAGCGCGCCGGTTGGTAAGATTTGCACAGCTTATAGAAGGCAGACAGAGCTAATGGTCGGCCGAAAGCGCCGCGCGTAATGTCATAAGCGAAAACGCGGCAGTTTGCGCAAAACGATATTACAAGATGCTCGCTGGGTACGCCCGCGCCGTTGTAGCGCTTAACAGCGACAAAGTTATATCACTTAAGACAGACTCCATTAGCTCTGCATCGCCGTGAAACACGCGAAAACACGGTCGCTACGCTAATGCTTCGTAAGGTATTCCTTGATGGCGAAATCTGGAACACTGAACGCGTAATCTTTTCTTCCTCTTTAACTCTCTCGTGCTTTGTCACTCTTTCAATATCTCGTTGAGAAATATCCTTTTTCACAGTCGAAAGGATCGCGCTCTGCAAAAAGTGTTTTAGATATCCCCGTACGTGCGACCCATGACACAGAGAATATACTAACGAGAAATGTTCTTTCTCTTTTTTGCAGAGAAAGCGCATCGAGGATGTACGTAAGAGAAGAAACTAGCTATGAAACGTAAAGTCGCCTCTTAAAGGACGGCCACTTACCAGGCGGATGAAAGAAATCCTTTCATCGGAACAGAGCTTATGCTCGTTTTATTACGAAATAAAACTCATTGCAAATATTTCAAATTAGCTATATCAATTTTGTAAAAATAATCAGAAACTATGGCTTAACGTTCCTTGAAGTAGACTCGAAATATGATGTATAATATACAGAAAAAACTTCTTGTTTATGTTTTTATTTTATACAACAAAAAAGTTTAATATCCATAGAGAGAGTGTGTAATCAATAGTCCTAAATGTGGTAATGACAGAGTTTTAGTGTTTAGAAAAGTTATTATTTTTCTTCTAATATGTATTTTACTAAAATATATTATATTACTTATAATTTTCTAATATACGTATTTCGCAGAAAATTTGTATTGTAGTAATTATTACAAACTTTGTAACTGCACTTGCTCTTTCATTTAAGACTCGTGAAAGTTTAGGCAGAGGGATGGGGGTGCGAAAAATGTTAGTTGTTCGTATTGTGCAATACTTTCTGAATTCGCGTTCCCTGAGACGCTTCGGGGCTTTCTCAGATGAGATGTTTTAAGGGAGTTTCGCACGAAAAATGCAGGAAAAGAAGAGGAAACAGGCGGAGACCGAGAGGAAAAGGGCGGAGGTCCGCGCCCGCCTCGAAGAGGCTTCCAAAGCCAAGAAGGCGAAGAAGGGTTTTATGACCCCCGACAGGAAGAAGAAGCTTAGGGTAAGTCCGTTTTTTGTTTCTTCCCTTTTGAATTTGGTTCGCACGACCAAGTGTGTTCTTCAAGTCGCGGGGATATCCTCTTTAAAAACTCGATCGCGGTAAGTCACCGCGAATCTTTCGTCAACGATAAAACGGGCGTTAATACCGCGCCAGATTTTCAAAAGTATATTTTATATTACATTAATACTGCCGTCGCATCGAACGTTTATTATCGACAACTAACAATAAGTTGATCTTCTCGTTCCCGATATAACCTGATTGCCTTATCGCACGCCATAATTTTCTCCTGCGTTGTTCGAGCCGCTGAGCAATATCGCGGTAATCATCTCTGCACCCTTTGTGCGCCGATTTTCTCGCAAAATATTTCTCGTAATGGCCACATCCATTTCTCTGTTACTTTCTCTTATTCTCCCCACCTTCGTATTTCAATGTTCTGTTTCCCAGCGATACGCGGAGCATCCGAAACTTTCTCAAGTTTTATCTCGCCTTTTTACCTTTACTTTATGGTCCCGCCTTACGTTCGCTATTCTGTATCCATCGTCGTGCAACATCCTACAGAACATCCATGTATCTCTCCCTCTCCGGTCCACGTTTCTCTTCATGCACCGTCGCGAGCATTCGCAGTCGCAGTACGTAAAGTTTCCGCGTGTGTATGTAGATTACCTCTTGGAGAATCTTTTTGCGTTTGCTGGCCCCGCGCGCGTCGGCATGTTATTTTCTCGTAAATCCACCTTCCTTCCTTCCTTCCTTTCGCTACGTCAATATTTGCTATCCCACCGAATTCCAACCGACGTTATCTCGCCGTTGACCGAAAGAGAGAAAGGCGTTAGTCGCGAGCTTAAATTATTTCGTGAGTAAACCACGAATGCTAATGTTTCTCTTGAGCATTGTGAGCTTAGTACATATGAATTTACTTCCGTTTCACCTTTCTGTTATTGTACGGTACATATTTATATATAGACACAAAGATTAATTATATTGTTGCATTTAAGTCTATTTGTTTTAATAACCATTTCAATATATGATTATAATATGGACGTATATAAATGGCCAATTTTATATTTATTAAACAAACATAAAAATAATCCACTTAATTGCACATGGTTTAAATTGTTCATACGGTTTATATAGCCTAGTATACTACTGAATATACAAATTCAATTTCCATTTAAATTATATCAATTTCATGCGATTAGAAATCGATTTGTTCGTGAATCCTGTAAATATTTCAGAGTACATTTTCCTGGGGAAACCTTTCCTCTCGTCTATTTACGAAATATTTTTTCTTCCTATTGAGTCGAACCTCACGAATTTTTCATATATTTATAGTTGCTGTTGCGTAAGAAAGCCGCCGAGGAATTGAAGAAGGAGCAAGAAAGAAAAGCGGCCGAAAGGAGGCGCATAATCGAGGAGCGCTGTGGAAAGCCGAAGATCGTCGACGAAGCCAACGAAGGTACTTTGCTTCGTTACGCAATCCTGCGAAATACATTTATATTTAGCAGAGATATTTTCTATATTCGGACAAAATTCGCGTTGTCCTGAATAAAACTATAAATTTACGTTTATCTCTATTTAATCATTCAGTTAGCAACAAGAATTATTGCACAGAAATGATGAATTCGAAATGTTAATACAATGCCGACTTGCGTGAATTACGAAAACAATTTTGAAGAATTTGATTTTTAAGAGAAAATGTTTTTATTTTTTAGATATGATTTGTACAAATAGTTTTTATTTTGGCACAATTGCATTTACATAAAAAATATGAAATTTTCGATCAAGTCACAATAATGATACGCAGTGTTCATTTTTAGTTTCACAGGTCGAAATTTTATGTTATCACATTTCTCACCGTGCTTTATTAATCTTTTTTACAATTCGTTGTTAGTAAATTTTTTTTCGAAAATGTAGAACATGCGGTTGATAGTAATTGGTATACGATTTTCAAGATTTAATTAGCACATCACTGAGAATTCTTTCTACCCTAAAATAATTTTTCGATCCCAATAGAAAAAAAGTGTACGTGAGAAAGTACAATAACTGAGACACGTTTCAGACGATATACGTGAATTGCGACGTTTTTTATGCGCGTCTTTATTTTGTTTTACATTATTTTGTTTCTGATAAACTACACAGAGACCGTAAAGCGCGTGCTGCGCGAGTACCACAATAGGATCTCGTCATTGGAGGATAAAAAATTTGACATCGAATATGTTGTTAAGAAGAAGGACTTTGAGGTACTTTTGAGAGAGCAACAATTGCGAGAACGTTTACGCGACGTGCAGTATGATAACGCGGCACTCACAATACAATAATAATAACGATGTTCAATGTTGTTGCACTTGTGTAACGCACTGATCTCCGCCCGGTTGCACATTTACGTAAAGCGATGACAAAATGTAATTAGAGTTTTGGCAAAGAGACCATCGCCACGAGATTGCTGGATTGCACAATTTTATAACATGCCGGCTACATTTAGCGCACACTCGATGAAAATAGCACCAAATGATGACAAACAATTAAAAAATAGAGCAATTTATTTACAGAAAAAATTTTTCCTAAACAGAAAAAATGGAGCAATTCAGAACTTTTAAAAAAGAAATAATAAAATTGTATCTTTGCTATAATCTCGGCCAAAAGTATTAACTATTATTTAACATTTTAGCTTAAAAATTGATTTATAGCATTTGCTGCGAAAATTATTCTTTATTTCAAAATCCTTTAAACTTACGTATAATACTAGTAACCAATAGGAAACAATATAGAATATAAATAGATAGAGATAAATAAAAAACTATAGACACCTATAAATACTTTTGGCCAAGGCTGTACAATTATATTGCTATGATTATTTATTATTACAATTATTACAAAATATCGTAATTAAAAGCTTTCGTATTCATTTTAAGGGGATTTGCAACTTCGGCTTATGTGTCGCGGCTACTTTCATCAACCAATGAATAATCGTTATCGAGCAACTCCCTGAATGATTAACGGCTCTTTACTGAAACTTGAATCTTTCGTCGTAACTTTCGTTCTGTAACCGGGCAAGAGACACGAGCTTCGCATTCTTTCGTCGCACCGTTTTTTCATTCACACTTTTCTTTTCTTTTTGTTCTATCTCTACGTAACACAAAATTGTCGTCGATTTCTTTTGATTCTGTCAGCATCTGTTTTCCTTCGCATTAATGTGCGCGCGATTTCTCATACTGTCTTCTGTCTCTCTCTCTGCTCTCTCCGTTTAATCCTTTGTTCTTGAATCTTTGGCAAATTTAATGGCAATTTAAGAACACTATGGATTATTCGCATCTTGATTATTGTATTAATACGGCTTGTCACTACTTACTTTATTTTCGCAAAACACGAAAAGTCAGAATAACAGAATAACATCGATTTTGAAACACGTTAGGTATATTCGAATATAATACATTATTATACATTGCTTCATACAACACGCACCATAATATTTTCTAGTGATTTTAATCATTTACGAGAAACTCTGATGCTTTTCTCATTTTGCGAAGTATTCACCGTTTCCCTCTTGCCGTTATTTTCGATCTATGCGCGAATATCTATGTGCATCTGTATCATCGCTCCTAGACGACAAGATTGTTTCAAATTTCATAGTGATGTCTACACTTGAAAATCGTTCTTGGAAGACGGTTTAAGAAAGAGCTCGCTTTCATTCACTGGAAACTTGAGACAGTCTTCACACCATTGCGAAACAGCGATAGTTTATAACATTTCGACTTAGCTTTCACACTATCGGTCTCACTCCCTCCCTCAAACTCACGCTTTCCACCCTCATGTGTCGTTCGTTCAAGTATACACACACATATATATATATATATACACGAAATGGACTCCGTACATATTATTCGTGAAAAGTTACATGCAATACATCCGTTACGCAATACCGTCTAGTACACTCAGAGAAAAAGACAGAGGTGGCAACTGTATAGGCGGTAATTATACAAGGTTTATCTATAGAATTAAGGTACCTAGTTGAATAAATTATTTTATAATTATTGCCATTATTAATACATTAATTCTACAATAATGTAAAGCTTGTACAGTTACTATCTATATGTTTGATTGTTATCACTATATTTTTTTACAATTTGCGAAAAATTACAATACATCCGTTGCAACAATATACCCGTTACTTAGAGAGTACTTAAAGAAAAAAACATGACAGTAGCAATAGGTGAAAACTGTACAAAATTTTGATAAATATTTCGAACAGGGGAAGCAGCTCTAATGACCTTGACCTTGACATATGTTATCAAGGTCATGATCCTCAGTAACCTTCAACAGGTTTTACGCGCTCATTTTATTTTCCCTGTTCTAAATATTTACCCAAATTTTATATATAGAATTAATGCGCATAGTTGAATAAATTATTTCATAATTATTACAACTGTACCTTAATTCTAAATATAAAACTTGTATAATTATCATCTATATAGTTGCTACTACTATGTTTCTGAATGTAAGTAGCGATATTTACGTCGATATCTACGACGTAAACGGTTAAGTCGCGAGCATTTTTTCAAGGAGTGACTTGAATTTTAACAGCTAGTGTGAAGTCCATTCTGATCCAGTATCATAAGAGGATCAACGTTCTCGAGGGGGAGAAGTACGACCTTGAGTACGAAGTCGCCAGGAAGGATATGGAGGTCGAAAAAAAATTTTTTTTTGCAAACAAGATGAGCTGCGATTAACGCCAATACTCTTTATCCTCTAGTCGTCTTTTTTCTTCTTACTTTTTTTCACGCGCGAAGCATATCTCACTATTTCTAGCGACTGTTCCGATTTGCATACTCATAAGCTGTCCGTAATAATATTAGGCGTAGACATCGAGGCTGAGTATTTTCTTAGCAGCAGCTCCTAACGTAGCACCCCTCGCGACTTGTAGAATCGCTCAACGTAGATCTGTCTCAGTAACGTTGATTTCTCGCAATAAGTAGAAACTTTCTACTAGAAAGAACTTTATTCACTTTATACTTGCGAGTCCGCACTACTAGACTCACATCCTTTCCACAGTTCCTGTATTTCTCACCCCGCTGATTTCCTTCCGTCGAATTTCTCTCATCTCCCACTTGCATTCCGTGATAGGTTAACGATCACGCAATTGTCAGCTTCGTGCTTCTCGCTTCCAACGCGAAAGACTCATTTCTTTTCTATTCTCCCCGTGATAATTACATTCCCTCACAAATAATCCTCTTAGTAGTAATAATATAAATCATCACAGAAAACCGCAGGTCGTCACATGCATTATTTTTCATCACATTTTTAAACATCACAAAGTTTTAAAAAAAATAAAAACAACGGAACAATTTACTGATACTGATATATTAAAAATGATAACAAATTGAATTAAATGTAAAAGTTGTTATCATTCTCATTCTACCGATATCAATGAATTGGAAACAGCCGTTACAATTTTATATCTTTATGTAGTGCCGTAGTTGTTATTTTAATTCCTGCATTTTTTATTTTTGAAGCTAAACAATTATAATATGATAACGAATTTTCAAGACAGCCGACGGCAAGGATGACAAAACACATTCAGCGGATTCCATTCTGCCCTTTTTTTCCAATAACTTTTTATTCTTTTAGCCGAGCTGCAGACGATCTGTTCGGCATATTGGAACAGACTATCCTTACTCGAGGGCGATAAATATGACCTCGAGAGGCAAATTAAGTTGAAAGAGCTGGAGGTAATTACGATCGGCTTGTCTAACAAAGAGAGAGCCTGTCGAAGTCCACTTGCATAGATAATTTTTGCCCAACTTTTACCCTTTCTTCCCGTGCCCTTATCCACATGATTTTTTAACTCCGCCACGTGCTTGACCGAGCGACATTCTTGGTCGAACGGTTCTGGTTGACGGGTCTTTGAACCTTCGGTTCGAGCACGTTTGCACGTCTCTTAGATAGGGAAATGCCGCGAGACACTAATGTTCCAAACTCTCTATGAAACTTTGAGAACAGTTTGAAGGAACGTAACCAACATTAACTTTTTTATTTCGCATCGCGCGAGCCTTAACGTTAACATCTTTTTGTTTCTATTTTTATTTTGCGCCATTGGCCATTGCAGCTGTTACTTCGACAAGACCAGATCGCATCGGAAAGTGCTCGCGCGAGAATGGAAAACAAAAGCAAAATTTCGTTTTCATCTTACACAATTTCATTTAAATTGTCTCCTTATTCAATTGTTTTAATCAATTCCCAGTTAGCACCAACATCAATATTATATTTCATTTCACATTCAACGATATAACTGTTACGTATAATACACGTTACGTTTATGTTGTTGAGTGTGCAATTATAACATCGATACGATGTTACTGTTAGTGATGTTTACTGAGTTTGGATTAAAACTCGTTCAGTTTTAGACTAGTAAACGAGAAACAGTAGAATAATAGAATAATAGAATTTTTTATAACATATCGTCGACATGGTATTATCCGCGCATTCGTGTCGGTTTATTTTTTCATTCGTGGCGCTTTCAATCACGTTCAGGATGATCCGGGACGTGCGAATGGTCGAAGATCGAAGTTTCGAAGGTGTTCAGTTCAGCCGAGACCGCGGCGCGGCGGCGCGGGAACCGTGCATATGTCCCCCGCGATACATCCAGCAGGGCCAACGACAGGGTGATCTCCATTTTCATCACGGAAAGGGACTTCAGGGCGGAATTATGCCCGCTTTACCGCGTCGAGGAAAGCACCTCGAGTTTCGCCGACGTTCCCGTGCGATTAAGCATTCGAGCATCGCGCAACTTTTATTACCGCGCACGTGGAGCGAGAGAGGGATCGCCAATTTACTTGAATCGGAGATTTCGGAAAGTTTTGCTTGTTGCGAGATCAAGGGCTCTCTCATTGGGATTCCAGTGTCGTTTAAGGTGTACCATTAGTATTCGAGCCATGCGGTTTATATTCTTCGCTAAAATATGTAAAGCTGGGCTCTCACACGCTTAGATTTTATAAAGCAAAAGGAACTATCATTCGATATCATTTATTTATTTACTAAACAACAACATTGTCATTATTATTAATAATGTTAATGTATATCAGAATTATAAGTTCCCGAAAATTTTAAATAAATTTGCAGCTATCTGTTACATATGCTGTAATGATCTTTTTCTTTTTTTATCACAGTTGGAAAATTTATGTTAAATTTAAATATATTTTACATGTCCTAAAATATATTATCCACTTACTCATAAATTGCGTTATTTTAAATTGTATTATGTTAAATTAACATTCGGATATGGTAAAATTTTAATAGAAGAATTTTGACAAGGATCGATTTTAACACAAGTACAAAATATTTTTTAATATGTACATTACATTATTTAAAAACTCCAATCTTAGAGATTAATTATTTTTCTTTTTATATTCCACGTTTAACTTAATGTGGAGCTGAATATAATATGATAATTTTCACTTTTTCGTGACTCGAGATTAGCGGATGATCCTAGCTTACATATCGCACGTCGTGCGCGATTGATCGCACGCTAGAGCCGTCTGTCTCTCACTCCGCCTGTGCTCCCTCCGCTTCCTAAGCTGTCAGAAAAGCAAACATATCGAGGAACCAAAGATTTCTGAGAGACTCTCCGTATTCTTTGTAGTGGAGTTGAAGAAGATTTGCCAAATGTATTACGACCGCGTCTACCTTTGTGAGGGTCAGAAGTGGGATTTGGAGCGTGAAGTACGGAAAAGGGACTACGAGGTACAGGAAAAGTGAAAAGCAGCGACAACGGCGAACAATGCGAGGAGAAAGAGAGCAACCGCCAGATCGCACGTTTCTTTTTGATCATTTCCTCCTCAAGTTGCCGACCCCTCCCCAGCGTATATCAGACGATATGGGGGTATTACTCTTCTCCCGCCCCCAGATCTCTCTCTTCGCGTTGTCTCTCGTTCTCCGCCCATCCCCCTTTCTGTACATACGTTTCTCTTTCGATTGTTGTTCTCTCTTTCACGATGTTTTTCTTGGTAGAAAACACACTTGCCGCGCGAACACAAGTCCGCTCCAAGGCGCGAAGCAATGGGAAAAGTTCTCACGATAGAGACGTGTGGAGAAACCTTTTGACGACGTCATTTTTAATATTCTATGAATCTTTATAATCTTGATCAGTCCTGTCTCGATAATCTAGCCGACGATCTACGACGATCTTTTTTTTTAATCGTGATCTTTTTGCGAAACGTGACGGAACGGACGAACATAATTAATAAGGAAGGGGATTTTTCTTTTTTACGTGGATATGAAGTGCCGCAGCGGAAAATATTTTTGTCGGTCACATATTTTTGCTCTACCCCTTTTTTCTCTCTCTTTCTTTTTATCTATTTCTTTCTTTTTACCGCGTGGCGTGCCCGCCTGTTTACTTCTCTACGTCTATCTTCGCTGTCTGGCTAAACGCACACTGTATCCACTCGCTCTCTTATAACGTATTTATTTTTCACAAGTCTATACTGTCTCTTTTTCTCTCTATTATCTAACCATAACGCAAATATATCTCTCTGAGCTTTATACTAACTCGCCAAAGAAAATAAAAAAAAAGCTTTATTCTCTCGAGTCAGGGCTGGGCAAGCTTATAGAGAAGACGCCATTATTGTATTATTATATACTCGTAACTCTGTATACTGTATACTGCATATATACTGCCTCTTTATATACTTTCTTAAATTTGTAGTGTTGATTAACACGCGGATTTGTTGATCGCGGATTGCGATAATTAACGTTGCATCTCGCGCGCTGAGAAAAATGATCGTGAAACGAGATGGGCGCACGATTTCCCAGTGAAAGAAGCAGTTGCCCTAGATTTGTTGCAAAAAAAAAAGAGTACGCAATCGAAGAAAATATACCACCCACGAGGATCACCGAAAGGGATCACTCCTTCCCTTGGTCTCACGCGAGAACTGAGCTGACACTGTATGCTTGAGACCACGTGCGCGCGTGTATGCGCGTGCGTGCGTGCGTGCGTGCGTGCGTGCGTGCGGTGCAAAATCAGAAATGAAAATGAAAAAAAAAAGAAATATCAGTGCACACATTGGGAAAATACATTAATTGTTACGATTTTTACGGTGTCTTCTTCTTATCTTTTTTTTTATCTCTTACGCTTTATATCTCTTCGTCTCTCTTTCCTTTTCACGCGTGCGTTTTTCTCTTTGTCTCTCTCTCTCTCTCTCTTTTTTTCTTTCTTTCTCCTTCTCTCTTTCCGTCTACTCTGTTCCATTGCTTATCCCTAACATTTTGTTATACAACGAGGATATCTTCCTCCATCAAGCACAAACAAATTTGCTTTACCGCGCATGCATGGCTTTTCTAACTATTAAACTGTTTAAGAGATGATATATATATATATATATAGGCGTAATGAACACGGGTTAATTAACGTTGTTGGACATGGTAGCAAATTATGAGGAAACAGGCGAATAGCTCCATTATAGTGTGGATTAATTTCGCGTTATTGTAGACTTGACCGATCGCTATTTGATTTCAGAGCGTCACGTGATTAGAGGTACATTTGTATTTTGCCGAAATATATTGCCGGAATTACGTATCTCATTACACAAATTAATCACCACCAAATAAGTACTCTCGTTATCAAATTAATATATAATATATTTGTATATGAATAACATTTATGCAATAATAAATTGACATAAATTACACTTCTTTTTTAAATATTTATTTATCTTCGAAGTTATCGGAAATCTAATTCATGTCGAAATAGTTATTTAAATGAAAAATATTTTACGTTACGTCAGTTTTAGAGATATGAAATATATTCGTTACATCAATCGCAGCAGTTTAATTTTCGCTGCGGAGTAACACACACACACACACACACACACACACACACACACACACACACACACACACACACACGAATGGATTTTTGATTGAAAGGGAACGATAATGGTGATTTATGAAAACGAAATGATTTTTTGCAGCTAAATTAACAGCATGAACGCCAACTTTCCTGTTAATCTCCGTGAGTATAATTTATAAAACTCCATTTGCAACGGATATCTCGAGTCGATTGAGTTAATGGAGCTTAATTCGCGTACACTTTCGTAGCTATGCGATAAAAAGTATGGCACTTCATATTCATCGCGAAGGAAGAAAAACGAGCAACTATAGTAGCTGATCATCAATATTCTTATTTTATTCTAATAAAACAGTGAGTGTGAATTGTTATGACTTTGATGTAAGAAATATGGCTTTCGTCGCTAGCGTTTTAAAAATAGTACATCTTATTTGCGTTATGAATTTATAAAAAACGTCAAAAACTTATAAAAGAAACGTAATTATTTTGCGATATTTACGATATTATGTCGAAGAAAGTCATTAAAAAACATTAAAAAAAAGGTTCGATGGTGAGTACATACAAATACTCGGTCGACGATGGGTACAAATCAGTTTCATGTAACTTTGGCGAAAACGATTGTCGTATACATTCGCATAAACACCGTAAGGTGATATATTCAAATAAACTTACTTGTTGCATAACCATACGCATAAAGAAAGTTATCCAATCACATTTCTATCATAAGGACGTAAAATGCGATTGGATAATTTTCCTTATGTATACGTTTATGCGGTCATGATAGTTTATCTGGAAATAGATTAAAAGTTGTAGAATCGGTTGTATTCTTTTATTTATTTTTTTTCATTTTTAACTCTCACAAAGGTGGACTGGCTCAAGAACGGATTAAAAGATCATGAAACCGAAGTGCCATGCTGTGAAAATCTTCAGACCGCAAAAAAATCCTCCCCTCTGTCTTATTATTTCTTTTTGTTCCATCGATCAAACCCCAGTTCACGCCCATTTTATTTTGATTTTCGTGAGACAATATAAATATGTACATGAAATGCCCAACTCACACGAGAGAGACATTGAATTAAACAAGTACAGACGTCTACGATGTCTTTAAAGTGAAGCGAAATTGATTTTGTACCGACTCGCACGCACCACACCGACTGTCAGTGTCCTCTTGTCATGGTGTTTTCAATTAGGCTGTAAATAGCGGACCTTCTTGGCAGAACTCTGTTCTCTTCTTTTTTTTTTATGAAGAGATTTCGCGAAAGAAAATTATCTCCTTTTCATCATTTTTTAATAGAATTTCGTTGTCAGTTTCCAATCAATTTTATTACGAGCTTAAACTATTTATGATATAGATATAGTCACATAGTGCATTATGACATTGCCAATGATTATCTTGCAGCATTCAGTTTCAATATATTCACGCGTCGCTGCTTTGAAAACAAACGTTATTTTGAGATAATTGGAGCGTATTACATCCGATATAACATTAAACGTTCGAGTACAAAATAGCAAATGAAATCACCCGGGTATTGATTTTGAGGGATTAGTTTCACGCTTCGAATGAGACGAACAGAGCTCTGGCAGTCTAGAAAACGGATTGTAGTGGATTTTGTAATTTTTTTCTCATCACCCACGGCGGACGAAAGAGCTGATCGTGACCAGCCGGTCCCCTGATTGGCCAAAATGAAATTCACACCCCATCGTATCCAATTCCTCTTTCTCTCTCTCTCTCTTTCTTTCTTTCTTTTTCTCTCTCTCTCTATCTTTCTTTCTTTTGTCGTTTCTACTCTCTCCCTTTCTCGTAACTTACGCGAGAAAGAGAATAAGTTAGGGAAAAAGAATATAACGATTAAATGATTCCTGAGAAGAAGAAAGGGAGAGAATCCGACAAGTGGCTTTAGAACAAAGCTTTGCTCCTGAAGAAACTGTTTCAGAAGAGTAGAATAATCAATGTCATCCGTAAGAACAACAAGTATTTTCAGAAACAAAGATGAATTCATATAATGATGACTATACTATGGCGATATGAATCGACTTGTATTTAGATTCATTGTATTCCGAGATTTTACGTACGTAATGCAACAAATTCGTAAATTTCTCTACTCCCTGCATGAATGTCTTATATACATATATACGTTCAATTCTATGGAAACAATTCCACAATCAACCTGCTTATCTATCCAGATACAAAAATGCTCATGAAACCTCATTGCAATGTGTACGAAACTTTCTGTTATCGCTATGAAAATGCGATTATCAATTTTTACATATATATATATGTGTTTGTTTTTTTATGAAGCTGAATGAAATGATTTTAACCGCAATATTTCAATCGTAATACCTCTATTTGAAAAACATAGCGAAGTATTATTTCGCCGCAGAAATATCACATTTTCGAGTAATTTTTGCTAAAATTTTTACTTTTTATCAGATATTTTTGTACATGTGTCAGTAAGTTTTGAATAGCGAAACTTTCCAATTTTCCAGATATTATTTATTCCACAGACCCCCATGTTCCCTCTGTTTCCTCTATTTTTTCAGTTATCATTCGCGAAACCGCTCCTCTATTCCCGAACCCATCGCCGTCATCCGCTATTGCAGTTAATCCGCAAGCCAATTTACTGTCAATCTCGATCCGTCGAGTGGCTCACCAGCTGAATATCTGCCCGCTTGCTCAACACGTGTAACTCCCTTTTCTCTTTCTCTCTCGCCTGTGCTTTTGCCACGTAGGCCGCACGCCGATACAGTTTGTTTCATTTGTCCATTTCTTCTTTTTCTTGATTAACCGTTTGTGGCTGGATTGTCATGCTGTTCACGTGAGTCCATTAATCCGCGTTTAATCCTAATACGCAAATTTCTTTACTGTATACAAGAATTATTATTGCACAACTGTTTTGGGAAAGGCTTTCCCTTTTAAATCTAAAAGTTTAAATGCATAATAATCTGGTATTTTTTATATAAAGTATTTACTCGAATATTGTGTGTCTCATTGCAATTAAATACTTTATTGCGCAATGGACATATTCAAAATGGTAAAAAAAACTATTCTTTTATATCTTGTATATAAAAAGAAAATGATAAGTGCGCATGAATAAATTATATCGTAATATCGAATGCAATGGATGTTAATAGAAATATTCGATACGTACAGATCGCAGACTTGAACAGCCAGGTCAACGATCTCCGAGGTAAATTGTAAGTATTTTTCCTGTCTATGTCATAATAACAGGAATCACGCAATACAATATTTACACGGAAAGAACGATTTTGCTGGGGTATCTAAAAATTTAGCTAGAGAGATCTGAAAATAATTTTGTTAAACTATCAAAATAATTATGTAGGAAACTCAAGCATGATGAATAATGCTGCAAAAAGGTTGCCGAGTTTTGACATTCTAGTAATCAGTTTTAGCATTCTATATAATTATTTTGATAGTCCAAAAAAAAAAAAATTATTTTGAAGTCTTTTTAGCTAAATTTTTAAATATTTCAGTAAAACTGTTCTTTTCATGTTGCTGAAAAATTAGTACTTATACTAACATAAGAATATATTTTATTGTACAACATTTTTTTGTCGTTTCAGCATGAAACCAACCCTGAAGAAAGTGTCTAAATACGAGAACAAGTTTGCCAAGCTCCAAAAGAAAGCCGCCGAGTTCAATTTCCGTAATCAGTTGAAACAAGTCAAGAAGAAGGAATTCACTTTAGAGGAGGAGGATAAGGAGGTAAGGACGATCGTTTTCGATAAAATCTTCGCATCTACAAGCGACGTGAATCTCTTTTTGCAAAAATGTTTTTTTTTCCCTATCCGTCAAAGGTCCAAGAGTTTTTTGCATTGTTCTTCATTAATTATAATTGTTTTGATATTAATGGTGGTAGAGAACGTTTTGACGACATCCAGATTTAAAAAAATGGACTTTTCAGTTTTTGTGGAAAACTTTTAATTTTTTTATTTCGTTTTTATTCATTCAGTTATGTATAATATTTCTATGTTATTATCATGTACTTGCATTTTTGTTTAATTTCTGATAAATTCATCGATACTTATTTTGCAAGGAACGCTTATTTTTTACGACCGCACGACGGGTAGATATGCAGTAGCATAGTAAATGTTTTATCAGTGAATCAAAAAAACAGTTTTTGTAACCCTGGTTTTCTTTTTGTGTACAAAACCCAATTGGCAGGTTTTCTTCGTTTAAGTAGTTTTTTCATTCAATGTATTATGTCCAATTTAGGAGATCGGCATTACATAGCCTTGTTTGAATTTCGATATTGCTGCTATTAAAATATTTATGATGACATACATTTCCCTGGAGGAGCATTATTTTATCAGCTAATTTGGAAGCCAAAATTCTCGGAAGTCTCGAGCAATGGGTAATCGTGCGGTAATTAATCATCGATTCATTGAACCGCGGATACTTTTAGTTAAATATATCAGGCTATTGTCATATCGAGGATGTTGAATTTATGCTAATCGATTAACCGCAAAATGTATTATTGCAATAATCAATGATTGCAATAATTTGAATTATGAATGTCAATAGAGTGTCTTCTCGTAATTATCTTGTAATATTCTAATAGCGCGTATTTCGAAGAATAAGATTAAAAATAAAAATATTTTGAAAATTAATTGGATTTAAAAATCTTCATAAATTAAGACTATCGTAATTATTTGTTTATAAACAGCCAATGTTTAATTAATAAAGTTCATGCGTTTAGGCTCGTAATTGCTCTTACATTGTGCTTTGTCATTTGTTATTGATTTTGACAATTCAGTTGATATCAATTTTTATTGTTCGACTTATTACTCAAGTTTCTTACGTGCAAATATTACGTATATCATAACAATTAGCTGATATTAATAGAAATAATTCATTCAATATAAAAAATTATTTCTTTCGTTGCATAAGCAGGATCTCCTGAAAAGGACTGTCTGTAGACATGTACATACGTATTCGTATTGAAAGTGTAGTAGTAGTGGTAGTTGATTAGGCAATTTGTGTTGTTCTCCACAGCCCAAGAAGTCCGAGAAGGCAGAGTGGCAGACCAAGAAGTAGATTTAAAATGAAAAAAGAAATCAGTTTGAGTGCGAAATCTCAATAAAATACAAACATTATCATTACGACGCAACAAAAAAAATCGAAAACAAACGGGAAAGCCAAGAAACTTCTATACACAGCGTACACACACATTTGAAGAAACACTTAACATAATCACATTTATATGTATACAATCGATTTAGTAACCGCATGCGCGAAAATGAACCGTGAAAACACATATGGGTAAAAAGAAGAAAAGGAAAAAAAAACAAATGCATAAACACGTAGAACGTTTTTGATATTGTTTCCATCGACGTCTCGCGTGTTCACCAGCGCGTTTTCGCCGTCGCGTTCATTCGAATTGTTGTCAAACTAGTTCGTTAGCACTGTGTGTGCGGAAAAAAATTAACAAGTGAGAATTGAAAATTGTATGAACAATCCTAAGAGTTAGCCGACATTTGATTACATCTCTCTTTTGCGCGGACTAGATGGTCAAAACGAGCGAGACATAGGGAGAAGCTGACTCTGCGTAAATATTCACGTACAACTGTTATATATAAAAGCGATAAGTTGTAGCAATAAATCGATCGAAGAAAACGCACGTGAATAAGTTAGATGTTCTCCTCTCGTGCCTCTGATATTCTCTCATATCCCTTATCGGCAGATTTCTCCTTCGTTCTTTTTTTTGTTTTCTTTTTCTTTTTTTTACGGTTTATTCCTCTCATCTCTAGGATTTCTCACTGCAACAGATAGCTCTTGATTTCCATTTCCTCTTTCTTTTGCCTTGGCGTCTATCGGATGCGAAACTCGATAACTCGAATTGATCTCAATTCCCGATTGTTTCCGTTACACGGAATGAAAACGTGACGCTGTGTATGAAAATGTTAATGCGTTCATAGCACCTTGTATTTTATGCAAAATCAGATACGATTTTCGTTCCGGTGTGGTCGTACTTTTGCGTCGTGATAAGAGAAATTCTTTCAGACAATGTTACGCGCGAGCGTATTTCAAATATTCGATAAGGTAAAATATCGGCTGTTATCGAGAATCATACCGTTTTTCTTCCTCTCGTAAAACTTTACTAATAAACTTCGCTTTTCTCTCAGGCACCATTTTAATTTCCTTTATCTTGCTTTTTTTTCTCCGACACATCACGGCAATTAGAGTAGTGTCCAATTTGTATCAATATCTGCATCTTTTTATTTTTTTCGCGTTCTTCATTCATTCATGTAACTTCGCAAAAATCTTCGGGATAGCGTAATCCAACGCAAAGTAAATAAAGTATAACATTAAGAGGGACGCAAAAAGGTGAGATTGGCTTGCCAAGTATATTTGAAGCTGACAGTTCCACTTTTATTTCATACATAATGGCAGAAGCGCTTTACTCACACACATGCCTGCCCACTCGCGTTTTTCTACTCTTCACCATCTAATTATATTGTTGCCTTCCATTTTTTTTCGCACACTCGCCTCGTTTATCTTCTTTTTACACGTGTTAATTGCCGCACACTTTCTCACACGCAAAATCGTTCGTTCCGCCGGATTGCTACCGAATGCAAAATGTTAAAAAGAGTGATCAATAAAAAGAAGAACGTAAACTCGCCTGAAAAGAGAAAACAGAAACAGAAACACGCACTCTTGAAACTAAAGTCGTTTGATCACGCAATTGAAGCCCTTTTGTAGCTTGGCTTATCACCATTACTCGGCCGCTATGCTTTCAGACTATATAGAATTTGTTGCTCTGTCTTTTTGTCTTTTTGTTTGTGCACAATCGTGTACGCATTTTGACGTTTTATGTAAAAATCTTTTATCTTTTTCTACACTGAAAGAAAAGTATTTGTGATATACATATGTATACTAAAAAATATATATAATTAGCACCCAAAACAACTATAATGAAAATAATTATAATAACTATAAATATAATTATTATTCCTAACATTATAGCTGTAATAACTATGAAGATGGAGCTCCTAATCATAATGATTTTACCATAATTATTTTACAATTATAATCACAAATACCAAACTTTTCTCTCAGTATCATTTACAATAAATAATAGTTACAAAGAAAATATTTTCAACGATCAACATGCATGACGATCACGATGTCGATCATGGCTTACGACGTGAGCCATGAACGACGTGTTACTCGTTAAGTAATATTTAAATGTACGCTTAATCAGTGTCCATGTCTTATCTGTTGACTAATTATATTGCTCTTGCATTATGTTCGCAGAATGCGTCAAAAGATAAGGTAAAACTTTAACAACCAACTTGTAGCTCGACATGCTTGTGTAAGAGAGAATGACGTGTGTGTGATAGATGAGAGTGTACTAGATAGAAGAACGAATAGCTCGCGCGTGTATGTGTGGAAGTGGGAGAACGGAAAGATAGGATAGAAAAGAAGCTTCCTTCGTTTTTAACGTTCGTGATGATTCAAGTGCAATCTTTTCTTCAATATTATGTTTCGTTTGTTCGTGAATTTCCTTACAATGTTTAGACGCATAGCTCCCAACATTCTCGACATCGTTGGAAGCCGTTGTCTTAGTTTCTCTATTTCAATTTCCTTTTATTTCTTTTTATGTTAAAAACTCGTGATTCTCCTTCTGCTGTATTTTTTTTTCTTATTTCTACTAACAATCTGCACGGCTTCGTAGATGTTCCGTGACTGAGCGTAGTTGCCAGGCGACGTTCCCGGAAACGTCGAGAGAATTTTTTGATAGTATGAGAGAATTGGCGATCCAGAAAGCTGGTGCAGAAATTCGCAATTGAACGGTATATGGCGCCGCGATCCACGACTACGACCACGAAGCAATTTTTGTCTAGATCTCGTTCTCTAGATTTTTGGCATTCCGAATTGAATAGCCTTTTTCAGAAGTTTTTGATCCCGTTAGCATTATTCCCCAGCTTTGCGAACGTTCACCCCGACACTGCTAACCAGTGTGCGAGTCTAATTTTCAACGTGTAACGAGATTTCCATTTGTATTTGACGCAACGTTTTCTCGATTTTGCAGAAGAAACCCGACTGGTCGAAGAAGGGCGACGAAAAGAAGGTAAAGGAGGAAGAAGCTGCGCCACCAGTATCGGTGGAGGAATGAGAGAATTGAAAATCTCATTCTCGTCGATCCCGAGAGAAACATCAGGATTCGCCTGTCCGCATTCGTCAATAACCGCTCTATGCAGAAACTCCAAAGAACCGCCTCTACATTTTTTAACGATCGATTTATTAATTTAATATGCCCCACTATCATGAATTGCACGCAAAAATCTTGCCCATCCGTCTGTCCGTTACAATTGCTCGTATGTACATCCCAGATTGTATCGAAATTTTTTGACATTCAATCCGATCCATAGCTTTACTCTACACTCTACTCGTACCTGTCCTATCTTTTTTTATGGATGTAATGTATTTTTTTAATGGACCTTGTAAATCATCATAGAACACTATTAGAATTGCGTGCAGGATTAAAAAAAAAAAAGTGTAATCAAATTTGTCTTTCTGCAAATCAAATGCGAGGGGAGAAATGTTATTGTAGAGAATAATGGGGGGAAAATGTTATTTTTCGTAAGGTTTACTGTAAAACAAAATATTTAACGATACTCAAAACCTCTATGTGTGGTCATTTTCCAATGTTTTTTCATATTCCTTCCACATTCTGTGAGAGTTTTCGTTCTGTTTAACCTTTGAAATGTATAATAAGATAATATAACCGACATTTTATGTACGTTTCATGTTTAATGTTAATATTTATTTTATTCATTTCTCGTTAAGTAGTTAGTATAAAAAAAGACTAATTAACATTTTTAATGATATAAGGTATTACGTACATAATAGCATTTTTTTTTAAATTAATTATTGAAGAAACGTTTTTATTAACATCTTTATCGAATATTTATATATTCTTATTTATATTATATACTTATTACGATCAAAAATTAAATACTTTTGATCCAAATTGAAAATGTTATGTTGATGAAAGATATATAGTTCTTGGAATTTTTCTTATTATTTCGACTTTTAGGACGGTATTCATAGTCAGTTCTTATATTCAAAACCGTTTCAGTTCTGTCTTAAGTGTCATGAACCAATCAGAGGGTCGCATTAGGGTCTTAAAACATTAAGACAGTCTTGAAATAAAAACCGACTATGAATACCGGCCTTAGTAATTTTTCGTGAAAACATAAGTGATAAAGCGTATATTGTAAAGGATTTGTATTTCTACGCATCACAGCGTAAAATAATAAGAATAAGCCAAAAGCTTTTTAATTTACAGATAAGCCAATATTCAAAGACGTGGTAGGTATGTCACTAACTGGATTTCGCGCTTTATAACTATTCGCTATTGAGTGCACGCTTTTGACACAGCTTTATCACGTTCGCTATGATACATAAGCTCTTATGTGCTTTGACGATTTCTATTTGCTTTATTGATTTATAAATCTGTTCATTTCCCCCCCATTTGCGAAAAGTTTTTGTACCGACTAGTATTTTCCAAAATGAAACGCACGTCAACAACAATTTTGATCGACAATTTATTTTGTTACTATCATTGATATGCTTGTAATTAGATATGATTTGTTTAATTAATTTATAGAAAAATTTCAATCCCGTTTGCTTTTTCATATTTGCCCTTCTATTTTTGATAAAAAATATTATATTTGAAATCTCTCACATGATAAATCTCTGTTCGTTTTTGTACAGATTTTTTAAATTAGGTATTAATTTTATGTTTAATTTGAGGTTATATTATAAGTCTCTTTTATTTGCGTTTATTATTAATTATCGCGCTAATTTGTGTCCCGATAATGAATATTAATATATCCAATTAATTGGCACTTTCAACAAAGCCTCATTATATCAATTCTGGGCAAATATCGAATGTCCTTTTTTACTCGATCGTACGTTACATGTATCGATTTTCACAATCACGTAATTTATTTTCGGGATCCATCGATCGTTTCCGACATACTGGCGTCATCTCGTTCGACGCGGGTTTCACGCAATCGATCGTATTTATAATCATATCGGGTGTCATGCACATTGTTTAATTATCTTGACAATATTCGCTGATCATAATAACCGCGATGATTTATGGCGCAAAACGACGTCATCGAAGCCATGGTCCGGGAAGCGCGCGGCGCGTCGTAAGCTCGTGGCCGAACGTTGCATAAAGCATTATTATCGAGAGCGGGACATATCTATAAACGGTGGTTTAATGCGAGTACATTTGCGAAACGTGCGCGTTGACCGTTAATCATGCAACTTAATACGCGTGTCGATGACGGCTTGCGCTGCAACTGCACGCGCAATTCTGTTTTGTTCGTGGGAGCGCTTTTCATGACGATCTCCGTGACCAGATGTTTCCGGTTATCAATCGCGTTTCCTAACTCGAATCACTTGATTTTTTTTTTATGTAAATGTCGACCTGGAGTGTTTTTATATCCCAGATTTAAAATCACTACTATTATACACAGTATATATTATTGATTGTTTTCCAATTTAGTCGTATTTGAAAACATTATAAATTAATCACAATTTTCTGAAAGGATAAGTAGAAACCAAACAAATTCAATAGGTAAGCATGTCAAATAGCTTATTATGATAGTTATAAAAAATAAAAATTTTAATTAATATAACGTTTTTTAATTAAGAGTTTTCATTGGAATTGCATAGTTAAAGCTTTGTAAAGAATAGTTATTAAAAAAAAAATGTTAAACAATATCCATATAAAAAAATATTTTATAATAACATTTTATATTTTTTCGCCACTGAGGTGTGAAAATATTCCAGATGACTATTCTCGATACTTAATAAAATACTTTGCGCCTCTTCTACTTTTATCTGATTATCTTTAGCTTGGAAAGAAACGCACACGTTTGAAAAGAAATGCTATTATATGATCGAACTTTCGAGTTCTTTGGTAACTTTAAAATAATATATGTATTAATTTATTGATATCAATATGCTACATAATTAATATGTCTTCTAGATGTTAAAGATACTGCTTAATAATTAATTTATTTTGAGTAAGTACGCGTTTTTCATGTAGGAGGGCGAACAGGCTGAAGCACCTGTAGAACCACCACCACCGGAACCAACACCAACCCCAGAACCGGCGCCAAGTCCAACTCCTCCGGCTCCTGTACCTCCGCCAGCGGAACCCGCACCAGTTTCTGCGGTGGCACCTCCAGCCGAAGGTGGAGTTCCAGCAGCTCCTGTCCCAGCAGCTGAAGGTGTCCCGCCGGCGGACGGAACTGCACCAGCACCTGCTGGTAAATTCCTAAGCCTTAAATATTTTGAAATATACGACAGTTTTCAAGATATTTTCATTGCACAGCGATTCGTCTGTTTATCAAAAAATGTTTCTTTGTCGAAAATCTGATACACAACGCGCCATTTCTATCTTTTTCATAAATATTAAATAAATATTTTTATAATTATTAAGAGGAAATTAAATTTTGCCTTCTGAATGTACGATTTTGTATACAGAAGGCGCACCTGCAGTAGCCCCCGCGGAAGGGGCCGCACCACCTACAGAAGGAGCTGCACCGCCAGTGGAAGGGGCAGCGCCACCAGCAGAAGGGGCTGCACCACCAATAGAAGGAGCTGCATCTGCAGAAGGAACAGCCCCACCAGTAGAGGGCGCGCCTGCTGAAGGAGCACCTCCAACCGAAAGTTCTGCACCTACCGCTACTCCTGCAGAGGGTGCACCCGCAGAAGGAGCTCCTGTCGCAGTTCCAGCTGAAGGTTAATTTTATCCTATTTATTTTTTATTCTTTTATCTTATTCTAATTTTTTATGATAAAATAAAATTTTACAAAAACCACATTACATTATTAAATTGCAAAACATATAGAATGAATCTAAATTGTACATTAATTCTTTAACCATAAACATACATCGCGCGTATGTTCCGTATGGAATTCGTTTGTAGCAGAAGCAATTAAAAGTTTAAATGAACAATCGGTGATAAAAGCTTTTTGTTGTCAATTTATAACAATATTACTTTATGCTAATTAATATTAAAATAATACAAAACAAAGCATTCTGCTTGTCGAGAAATTAAAAAAATAATTTAAAATGTCTTTTTTGAACATTAAAAGATTTATGTCGATAAGCTATTGCCAATTTTAATGCATTCCTAATGTCGCTGCATTTATGTAGCTTTCGCTTGCAAATGGGCATACTGTAATGAGAGAAATTGTGATTAACCTGTTATGTGAAATACAAATTTCAGTATCTTCCATAAAACAAAAAAATAATTGTGTAGGTGCGACACCAGCAGTACCAGCGGAAGGAGCTCCTCCAGCCGAAGGAGCTGTTCCTCCAGCAGAATGTGCACCGGCCGCACCAGCTGAAGGAGCCGTACCTGCAGCTGCACCTGCAGATGCGACACCCGCAGTTCCAACGGAAGCTGCACCCGCGCCGACCGAAAGTACGTGAAACATCTACGATTTGACTTATATTACTTTTCAGGTTACACACAGTGAAATTTTCGCTATAAACGCAGATACTTTATTCTACTCTTTTTTCATAAATCTATAATAATTTTGTAAACGATCCATTTTTTATTGGAACATTTGGCGAGAATATTTTGAAATCGAACATTTCACATTTTGCAGAAAGAGAAGACACAGGAATTTTTTTATCGCCAGTTCTACGTCACTTGACAAAATTGGCTTCGTATTAATTTTGCGTTTTTAACTTAATTTTTAGCTAATCTAGTTTTGATATTACGAGTTACAATCCGCATCAGAGGCAGTCCCGCGCTAAAGAGCGCGAAATACATCATGAACGGTATGTCAAAGCCTTCAAGTATAAAATGCAAAGGACTAAAAAAAATCATCACATCCGATGAACTAAAAAACAAAACTAGCGTATTTGGCATGTCGCGAATTGCGCACCGATCAGACATCATCTACATCGGCACTAGTGTTCATACAATTTCGGATTTTCCGGAGGAAAATCGATGAGAGCTACTCTCCTCGGCTTTATCATCGACTTATCATCTTAGCTCTAGTTAAATAATTCTGTACCCGTACTTGCCACGGCGCGCGGTGGTCGCTTCCCACGTTAATATTCTCTTTTTTTTCCTCCCCATGTAGCACCCGCATCGTAACTGGAAGAGTGGAGACGAGGGGTCATCTTTGTCGCATACTCTCCTCTCGTTGACGTCAAACTTTGCGGAACATCTACAGCGGTAAAGATACGGATGTATGCGGAACCAGCACCCTACCTGACATCGCGGCTCGCGCTTTTCTTGTCGTCATCATCATTATCATTACCATTATCGCCAGCATCGTTACCATCATCTCCATCGCCGCCGTCGCCGTCTCGTCGCCGTCGCCTCCATCGCTCACGTCTTGCATATTCATCACTCATGCATCACGAAAACTCGCACGTGCCGCACGAGGTTCAAAGAAAAAAAACGAACAAAAAAAAAGGAGAGAAATGTATGCACGAGAAAGGGTCGCGTGTCACGGGCACGATATGTCTTGTGGTCGAGAAACGCCGACTCGACGTGGGGCTCATATTTTCGCCTCATATTTTTTTTTGCCGAGAACGGAAAGGAAGGATGCTGTCCTTATTCGACGATGTCGCGATTGCTAATCGAGATTATGTCGAGCGTGCATCTACACACATTTCATCACGTTCGCTCGAGCAACTTTTCCACCACGCGCAATCAAACAATCGCTACTCGTCGCATTACTCAACACAGTACGAATAACTAACTTCGCGTCGGAATAATCCTGTAAATAATCCATGGCACGTCTCTCACATCACAGTTCTCTTTGCGCGGACATCGATACCGGAAACGGTTTCTGTATACAAGAAATTGGATTTCATAATAAAAACTTTTTCTTCGACTATTGTTATTTTCCTTGTTCAACAGGCACACCTCTCTATCCCATCATGAAAAATGTACTTCGTTCTTTATTCGTAATAAGTTTATTACGTTGTTTGAAGCGTAACATTACTGAGAAAATGATACTTCTGAGATATAATAAAATTTATCTCACTGAAATAAATTCTTCTTTAAATAGCGAAATAAAATTTTATTTCTAGCAAAATAAACCATCTATTTTATTTTTTTACAAATAATGAGATATATTTCATAAAATTGTATATATCTATTTCATTGTGAACACATTTTTTTATAACTAATACTATCGAAGAAAACGTCATATGTAACATTCTCTTGCAAAAATATTCCGATTTTTTTTTAGTGCAACTTATGATCACTCAATTCAATCACTTGCACTATATTAGATTGGTACAAACCCACTCTCATTATGGCGTTTCCGAGTACATACATTTGCTCATTACTGTGTTATATTCCTTAATGTTTGGCATTTCGATAGAAAAAAAATTTGTTATAAAATATTCATTTTTATGTGATATTTTTATACAATACCCAGGTGTTAGTAAGTAATGTGACAAACTAAAAAGTCTCCTCACATAAATTACTTAAATGCATTAGCATAATACAATCAACTTTGAAAAAAGAAAAATATTCTATTAAATAACGTACACTGAAAAAAATTTCTGGTTGAAAATGGACGAATCAGAATTTTCTGATTAAATTTATTAGAATTCTAGTTGAGATAACAGGAATTCTGGTTGATACAATATTTCTGGTAAAATCTACTAGAATTCTCATTTTTCACCAGAATAATTATATCAATCAGAATTCTAATTATCTCAACTAGAATTCTAATAGATTTAACCAGAAAATTCTGATTCGTCCATTTTCCACCAGAATTACTATTTAATCCAACCAGACCATTTTTCTCAGTGTAACAATATCATTATTGAGTATTTAATCGTGTAAAATATTTGTTATATATGTTTTTACATTTAATTTTGCTATAATTCATGTATTATAGCAACATTTAATGTACACTAGTATAATGCAGATGACCGAATTCGCTATTAGCTTAACATTCCTTAATATCGACATAAATTTGATTTTTATATTTCACATTTGATAATAACATCGTCTTTAAACGACCCATTTATATAGTGTACAGATCTTATTACTTCTTAGGCCATAATTCAATGCTTATTGCCAGTGACAGTGGGTTCTTTTGGGGGCTCGACAACCATTTGTTTATCGCTCCGCTACGTGTTTTGCCGTTTGTCGTGCTTTGTTTCACGACACGTACATACAACGGAAAGACACAATGGATGCCCTTTTGTAATGGAGTCTACATAGCGCTGTCTTATTGTGCGTTCTATCACCGCGGAATCTCTTTGCCGTTCATGTGACATTTCCTGTGCACATATATAAGATGTATGTGTGCATATAAAAGAGGAATAATCAATATCTTAATGAATTACGTATAATGGGGGGGGGGATAAAACATGTGTAAAAATGCGTTAAAGTCGATCTTTCACATAATAAAATTGTAATCAGCGCAAAACATCAAGATTACAAATAATATCATTGATCATCATCGATTATTTGATCTTGATTGTAAATTATAATTCGAGTTCATAGCTGCACTTCAGTTCATTTTGCGATCATATATCGATAATTAGCGTAAATGTTTCCGTAATAATTCCAGTATAAAACATTAACATGTTTTGCATAAATCAAAATTGGAAATGTAGCGAAATATGAAAGTCTTTAATGATTGTGTGATCCATCACCGCGGAATCTCTTTGTTAATCATGTGACATTTCCTATGCGTATACATAAATGTACACACATGTGAGATGTGTATATACACATAAGAGGGGAATAATCAATTCTTAATAATAAATTAGTATTGCGCACAATGGGAGATAAAACACGCGTTAAAGCTCATTTCTTACACAATAAAATTGTAATCGGTGCATAACATCAAAATTATAAACATATATATTGTATCTTTGTCCATCGCCGATTATTTGAGCTTGATTATAAATGATAATTTGCGCTCATGGCTACACTTCAGTTAATTTTGCGATCATATATCGATAATTGGCATAAATGATTTCCGTAACAATTCCAGCATAAAACACACTAGCATGTCCTGCATAAATCAAAATTGGAAATGTAACGAGGTAACGTGAAAGTGTTTAATGATAATAACAATAATAATTTTATGGAACGTGCATCATTATCAAAATCATCATATAAAGTCGCGAATAGAAAATTCATCATTATCAATAGGCGGTAATTGAAATATTCAAAGCCCAGTACTCGTATGTTGAAAATGAGGAGATAAAGAGGCGTTTGATACATTTTTAATGGTTTTCATGAGATGATAATTGTGTCGGATTATAAAATTTCAAATTACATGTCGAATGTGTTTATTCTCGTGAAGACTGTCAGAATTGAAAATAATCATATGATGTCAAGGAGATTAACAGATACAACGGGATGTCGCAAACGGCGGAAATACATCGCATGAAATTGAAATTGTATTTTGTTTCCGACGTGGCCGTAATGTGACTAAAAAGGTAGCTAGTGAGGCGGTATTTAATGCAATTATAACTTTTTTCCGGGCTTCTAATTACACGGAGTTACGAAGTTGTAAATTACATATATCTGAGCGTGATCAGAAATCAAAGTACGTCATGCGAAGTTGTATCAAGGTCGACGAAATATCGATTCGCGAAAAAAATAAAAGATTGAAGTAAAGAACGAAAGAAAAAAAATAGAAGATACATGCTGCGTTGATGAAAAAAAGCGACATGAGTAAAAAAATTAGTACTTTTGAGATAAAAGGAAATCAACCTTAAAAACTAATATGTATATTTTTGCGAAACAACATGTATAATTTATTTATGTAGAAAAGTGTAGCAACTCTGATAAAGAATATAAAGTTACTGCGATTGAAAATGTAATACCTATGAAAAGAAAGTAAAGTTATAGAAATAAGTAATAGATTATAGAAATAGCATATTTATACACACTATCCAAATTAAAACATCGTTCCAATTCAGAATTTTAAAAATATTCCATTAAAAAACTGCCAATGTTGAAATACATCACTTTTTTTATCAACGCAGCAAGACATAGTGCAAAATTAGAATTGTTTTCCGTTCTCAGGACATACTTACTTCATTCAAGCATACGTCGCACGGGAAAGAGCCTAAGCGCTTATTTGACACAGTCCCAGCGAGACTTTACGAGACGATAATTGGGCGAAATTATAAAATTGCAAATGACAGGCGGGCGGGCGTTTAACTTGCCGACGCGTAGGAAATAATCGTGTGAGACCGCCCGTGAGAGATTGACAGGTATACGTATCGCGGGACTTGCTCCGAGCCCGAGCGAACACAAGGAAGAACGACAGCGAGTCTGAGTCAGCGAGAGCAAGAGAGAGAGGACGAGTGACGCGCGCGCACTTCACGGCGAACCATTGCCGCGCGCGCGGCGACAGCGGCGCACTTCAAATCAGTCGCGCTTCGACCTTCGTCGTGGAAGGATTTTGCGCGTTACTCTCTGTCAGTCGATCCGTTGGTTGCCGTACACTGTCATTCGTGCGATCGTCGTTCTCGATCGTCCGTCGCGAGGTGACGTACGTCGATTAGAGACACGTCGCGAGTCAGTGTCGTATACAAGCGTGCTCGAGTTTTTTCTTTCTTTCGTTATCGGGTCAGTGCCAAGATACGCCATTACGCGAGTTCCACGCCGGCGGCGGTGACGCGCGTCGCCTGGGATCATCGTCGGTGGATGCTGCTCAGCTGCTCGTGGCTGCTGTGCGAGATCTCAAAAACCGTCAGGTAAGTGTGCACGTATATGTATATGTTCACATCACACACGCGCACGCACAGGCGACGAGCGGGTGGCGCGGCGCAGAGCGTAACGAATTGCCATTCAAGCTGCGCCAACTCACTCCGAGTCCCAGGAGCAGATTTCCACTCGGGTGCTCCCTAAGTATCATTTTATCCTTGTTTAACATTTGATGAAAAACAAGGATAAAACGACACCTGAATGGTGCTCGGATAGGGAATCCAGATATATTCACGGTTAAGATAAGAAACACTCGACGCCGCGTCGCGTCGCGTCGTTTTCGAATTGTTCACATGACGTGATCACGTGACTGCGCGATCGCGGTCTTCCACTTCGGAGTAGAGATACTACAACTCATTGTCAGAGTACTTAGAGTCTGATTACGAGATGGTGAACTTTTGAAAGACCCATCGTTTTCATCAATTTTAGTAAGTTCAAATGAGAAAGATAATATAAGTTAGAATGAGATAGCATATGAAAAGATACGGAGTATACAGAGTATTCTCGACAAACTTAAACTATGAATCTGAAAATAAATAAAATTTTTCTTTAGAAATTTATTTGCAATTCTTCGTTTTTTTTTTAAAGAGATATTGACTTCTTAAGTTACACAGAACTGTAAGGATGAACAATGTCGAAATAACTTTTGGTTTTGTTGCTTTGAAACAAAATGTGTACGAAGTGCTCATTAACGATCTTTAATCATTACAACGCAAGCGTGCGAAAAAATTATACAGACGCACAATCAGCCATTCGTTCTTTTATCGATAAGTTTTGAACAAAAAAAATTCTTATTGTTCTATAACTTAAGAATATCTCAATCTTAAACGAAATATTTGTAAGTAAACTTTTAAAGGAAAATTTTATATTAATATAAATAACTAGCGATATTTTTATCGCGTTTATGTGATGGCTAATTTATATTAGGCGCGGGCGCCGTTAAATACTATTGTTTTTATAGACGACTTATCCGAGATTGCTGCTCGTGTGGCATTAATTCCTTGCTCATGTAATTCACTTCGTGCTCAGCTAGCGACATATATACATATATATTCTTTTCCGAGACCGCTCCGTATTGTGAAATCGAAGTTCGATAAATCTAATTATTATGTCACATATACAGTCGTCAGTTTCTCAACTATTTTGTTTGTTTTGATGTCTTAAATTTATGTTTTAAATGTAACGGTGATTTAATCCGGAAACATCCTGCATATATACTCTTCTTTCTCATTCTTGTTTTGACAAAATTGCTCATAGCCAGACTCTGGTATAAAGTTTTGGAGCACATCCACGACTTCTGCGACTGCTTTTTTTTTAAAGGTGCGAATGTTAGACCGGTTAGACAAAGTATCGAAGACACACACAAGTCGATTTAATCCACCTTTCATTCTCCGAAATAAAGTGGTAACATCTGATTACAGCAATATAAAATACAAGTATAAAAAGATGACATAAATCGAAATTATTCAAATTTCGTATAATGCTGATCGTGTTCTAAATACATTGATCTTTAATTAGGAAAAATAAATTTAGATTTATAAGTTGAATTCAAATACTTCTCATAATGATATAAAAAAATGGCACAAATTAAAATAGTTTCTAGAGTTTTTGTTAATATAATATTATAACAAAGTTAATATCTCATTTTATCAACGTATCACTACTTCTAGAGAACTTGAAATAAGCAATTTATGATTAGCTCTTAATTAACCTTTAGTATGTACGATGATTTTCGAGTCTTTTACTATATACATACAATGAATTCGTGTCTCAGATTAATTTTGATATTGATTTTCATTGCTTTTACAAACATGCAAAAATTATTAACTGAATTTTACATATACTTTAATGTCTTTAGAAAACATTTTGTAACGTTGTGTATTTAAAAAAATATATATAAATAATCAATTATTTGTTGTTTTTTTAAAAAAAAAGAATGCACAGGATACAAATGACCCAATCGTTCAAATGAAGTTCAATTAAAGATTAACGTGTATTAAGATTTAATCCTGCCGTAATAAATAATTAATTTTAAAATACATAATAATTGTTTTTCTTTCTTTCGAACAATGTTATATTTTTGACTTGTATCATTTTATTTGCGGGGACGCCATGTTTATGTTTAACTTAATTAAATGAATACGATGCTTTACCGAAATTTTATTTACGCAACGTGCTCTCTGCCCACACCATTCGCAGAGTAAATAAAGATGCATCAGGAAAACAATGGAAAACCTCGTAAAATTACTCGTGGAAAACGCACGTTTGTTGCGTTCTTCTTAGATAAACATTGTCCAACATTTTGCGCAACGTGAATTTTCCCCGCGTGTTCCGACTGGACGCACAGAGGTGTATCACAGCGAACTGGAAAATGCGACTATTCTTAGAACCCACCCTGGTCAGCGCTTTCTCGCACCCGGTAAATTTAGATTGTCCATTTGAGCATGAAAATTTTTCATATCTGCAGGGAACAAATACGCGCGCCAAAAAATCGGGGTGCGCTAGCCGTTCTTTGCATTCCGAACTGCAAATACGCTGACGGGGATTGAAACACGACAAATAGAAAGCGCGTGGTGCGTATTCTATTTACGTCTCGGGCATTCCCGGGCATGGGTGACCATTGAAACTAGTATTACTCGAGAGGGCTGACAAGCTTTTTTTCATTAATAAAACCAGTCGGAACGCTATACATCATTTTCGCCGTATTGACGTGGAATTATTGACATGTCTCTCTCTCTCTTTCTCCCTCTCATATCAATAACGAAGCACTCTCGCAATGTTTCCGCTTGAAAGGAGAAAAAAGTCAATTACAGCCTTATTTTTGTAAATGAGATACAATCGGAATATCAGTAAAGCATTTCACTCTTTCTAATGTTTCATGTCGTTTTTTCGTTCATTCCGTAATATAAAATCTCAGCCATTTTGTGTCTGAGTGGTGGAACGAAATGGAAAGGACATGTCTGATTCTTGATGTTAAAGTCGTTCATCGTAATAAACGTGCTCGCGCTTATGGAAGTTCCGGAGGTAATCCAGGAAAAGCGGCGCGCACTCAATGCTTACACGTGACTGCCTCATTCTCTCATAACGCCGGCAGCACATATACTTGACCTTTGCGCAAATGTAAGAAAAGAGAATATCGTCAAGGGACCTGTACGTGAGCGCGGAGCAACGTTTTTCCGAGAGATTTAAGTGCCTCGGGATCTGATTATAACGCGTACTTGTTTCGACAATGCGCGGCGAAAGAGATTACAGGTGGGACGGACGAAGAGGGACGGAGGAAGAAATAGAGAATTCTGCCGGTTCTTTCTTTCCGGTTGTACCGGTTCGAGTTGTCACAGGCCGCAGCCCGCGAAGGAGACGCGTGGACAGACAAGCGCGAGTGCACCAAGGGAGAAGTAGTTAGTCAACAAGAAATCCGTCGCGCGCGACTTCCTCTTGCCACAGTTCTGAACTGTTCGATGGTACCGACACGACGTCCCGTAGTTTCGATCTCATTAGCAAAATTAATCCAACAACTGCCACTAACTTACCTGACGTAGACTGCATACTGAAGCTTTCATGTTTTAAATAATAATTTCTTCGTGTTTGCGATGCGTTTGAGAAATTGTAAAAACTTACGCGCATGTATGTTGTGTTCAAATTATCACTTCTCTTCTACGCATTACAATATAATTATCCAAGTATAACTATTATACGATAGTTATAATGAGATTATAGTAATACATTCGGAAAATGAGTTAAGAAATAGATTTATACAGTTCAGAGGAGAGAAAGATAGATATATCTTTATTTATTGAGATGGCATTCTTTCAAACGCTAAAAACATTATATACAGATTTACAGCGTAAAATTTGTATAGTATTAGAAAACTAAATACTAATAAAATAATAATAAAGAAAAAGTAAACAAAAATGAAAAAAGGTTACAGATAACAGAATGTACGATATATAATACATATGATATATAAGCGATATATATATGTATATATATAATACAATATATAACATGTGTTAAATAATACAATATGAGAGAGAGAGAGAGAGAGAGAGAGTTGAGTATCTATTTCTTTCCTAAAAAGAGAACACGTGAGAATTTCGGCAAGTACTACAGCAGCGATTGTGAGATTAGCGAACTTGTTGCGTAAATTATGTATTTGTACGGAAATTTAGTTATATCCCCTTAAGTAACGCGTCGAGCTTGTAAACTAAAACATCCCGCGGGTGTTCTCTATCCCACCGGCGCAGAGCACCGAAATATTCCGCGCGCGAGTATTGGAGTATACATTGAACAGACTCTCGCGTTGAAGCGACGTACGTTTGTGTTAACACCGGTCCCAGCCACGTGTGTCTCGTTCTCCCGGGATATTGCGTGTCGGTCGGGCATGCGGCACAATTCGAGGTTTATTCGAGTCTCCCGAAGTTGTCGCTCCCAAGCCGAAGCCGGGAGAGCCAGCCTCCACCTCCGTAATATCCGTTACTCGGTTCCGCGAGCTCGGAAGTTGCCGCGAACGTTGACGGGATTCATCTCTCCCTCGACCAAAGTTCTCGGAGAAATAAGGCGAACCTTCCGGTCGACGCGTTGCTCGCCGGGGCGATGTGACGGGGTTCAAATACAGGATCTTATGAAAGAGCTTAGGCATCCTGCTCCGAGATTCATCGGTGCTCCAGAAATTCGCCGTCGCGTTGTTCCGGGATTAAAGCGAAATCGTTTCACGGAATTGTAAACAGGCAATTTTAGTTTGATCGCGCCTCTGTAGAAATTACTAAATAGGAGAATATACACATATATAGAAAGATTAAAATTTATAGTAGAATAAAATATATAAAGTAGTCACATGATATCTCTTGTAATCATGTGTCTCACAGCAGCCATTTAAGAGTGCTATGGATTTAGTCTATTATTTACACGGAGAGTTTTTAGCTCGACACATTTTTAAATTAACGAAATTTATTTTTATATAATATAAGTTTTGATTTCCATGATAAAGAAA